TCTTGTGTCCTGTCCCTAAAGTAACTCCAGCGACAAAGGCTGGAGAGATAATCTTAACTTTTTAATCCATTTCCTCCTGGTACATCATTACCCTGACTTTTTAAAGGTACTTCTTCGAGCAGAATGGCTAACTTTGTCTACTGTTCCCCACCGTCCATCTTCTCCCCTCTCTGAAGATCCCAAGCTTCCGCACTCCTTGATTGCACCCGCCCAGCCTCCTTTAAAATGCATAAGCCACGCCCCCCATGTTCTGGCGCTAAGTTCGGGCCAATGCAGTTGCGCCGCTAGTATCACAGGACTAGGGAAGGAAAGTCACCAGCCAATAGAAAACCAGTTATAACGCAAAGCCGGAGAAAAGTGTTTCAGTGTTGTCTTTGAACCAATGGGGGGCAGAGCAACAGAGCCCGTGCAGCTTCCAGAAGACCAGTTGAGCAGAAGCAGCCTAGCCCCACCTCCTGGTCTGGAGGTAGCGCGATGGGCGTCGCTCCCAATAGCTTGCAGAACCTCTAGTCACGTGCAGGTTTTGCAAGCCCAGCAGCATCTGGCAGGTCATGTGACAGTTGACGTTTGTGCGACGCTCCCCAATGGAAAAGGAGAGCTGCCTTCACAGGACTAGGAATTGGTTTATCTACGCGAATAACAGCATGACCGGGGCGGGGAGAGCCTATCAAGTGCTGCTAGACGGAACGGGGCGGGGCAGGCCACTGGTTGCGGAGTGAGCTGGGCGCGCGGCGCGCAGGCGCCCTGGGGACCCGGTAGCGGCGGTGGCGGTGGCGGTGGCGGTGGCTGCGGCGACGGCAGAGGCGAAGGGAGCCGGATCGCCGACCTGAGCGGGAGGCGGCGGTGGCGGCCATGGCGGCAGATGGAGAGCGTTCCCCGCTGCTGTCCGAGCCCATCGACGGTGGCGCGGGCGGCAACGGTTTAGTGGGGCCAGGCGGGAGTGGGGCTGGGCCCGGGGGAGGCCTGACCCCCTCCGCACCACCGTACGGAGCCGGTAAACATGCCCCGCCCCAGGGTAAGCCGGGGCGGGTCCGAGGTGCTCCCCGGGGTACTCTGAAAGCCGGGGAGGGGGCGGGACCGAGGGCGGAGGCGGGTCCCAGTCGCCAGGTGCGGGACTGCTGCACCTGTGACTGGGCGAGGCTTCCTTCCCTCCGCAATCGCGACCACAGCGTGGGACGGAAGGGGGTTCTGAGCAACCTGATGGAAGCGCCAATTATGAGAAGCCCTCCAAGCTTGGTCAGAGGGTTGAAGATCAGAAAGACTTCCCTACCACCGTGGAGCATCAGTGGAGGATATCTGTAAGTGATCCCAGCCCTTCTATTTTCTTCCTCTCCAGCATTTCCCCCGTTCCCCGAGGGACATCCAGCCGTGTTGCCTGGGGAGGACCCACCCCCCTATTCACCCTTAACTAGCCCAGACAGTGGGAGTGCCCCTATGATCACCTGCCGAGTCTGCCAATCTCTCATCAACGTGGAAGGCAAGATGCATCAGCACGTAGTCAAGTGTGGTGTCTGCAATGAAGCCACCGTGAGTTATACATATCTATGAAATGGGCCCTGTTTCCTGGATCCTCTTTCTGATGTCTTGATTCTAGACCCTGACCTTGCGGCTGTTAGCCAAGTGCTCTTGATGATACCCAGGTTTCAGTTCCAGGTGTCTCACACAGCCATTTCCCCAAAAGCCACTCACCAAAGCTAACGTTTACTTTCTCTCACTTCACACCTAGCCTAGTTCCTATTTGCAAATCTCATGTTATAGTCTGTTTTATTTCTCCTTCCTGGCTAGCACCTTATTTTTCTGATCTCATAAAGAGTTTTTGGAGGGAAGTGGAGGGGATTGGGATTAGAGGTTTGCTTGCTGATGACCCTGTTATTCTCTAGCCAATCAAGAATGCACCCCCAGGGAAAAAATACGTTCGATGCCCCTGTAACTGTCTCCTTATTTGCAAAGTGACATCCCAACGGATTGCATGCCCTCGGCCCTACTGGTAAGAGGCATAATGTGGGGAAGGGCATAAGTGGGCAACTGGAAAGTCAAAAAAAGATGAGCGTATATAGAGAAAGTAAAGGTGAGAGAGCCTAGTGTTTATTTAGAAGGAGAAGAGACTTTGAAGCATATGCCTCAGGAATGTTACAGCTGTCTTTCTCATTTCTCAATAAAAATATTGGGATGAAATGATGTCGTTTAGGAGAATAGACAGCCTTGGGGACTGGGTGTGTTATCCTGAGGTCGGAGGGGAATTGGGGACCTGAAGTTTAAGCAGTGCTCTTTCTTTCTCAAGGATTCTTGAGGGTATACAGTTGGGGGACAGAGTATTTTAAGTGTACAAAGTCGAGTGACTTGATAGGCAGGGAGTGGAGGATGTGAAACAGGGACTGTGTGAAGATTTTTAGGATTAAAAACTTTTCAAACACAGTCTTTTTCTTTTGTATAGCAAAAGAATCATCAACCTGGGGCCTGTGCATCCCGGACCTCTGAGTCCAGAACCACAACCCATGGGTGTCAGGGTTATCTGTGGACATTGCAAGAATACCTTTCTGGTGAGGAAGAGGTATTGGGAAGGGGAGGGGAGAGGAGACTAGGAGTCATTTTGAGTATATTTCTTGGAGTAATGGTAATGACCCCTGAAAGTCTGTCCTATGGGAACATGTTCTGCATCCCCACCCCAAGGTTCTCATTGAGGGGGACCCTGCTTGTGCTATTATTTTCGTTTTCTTTCTCCATAGTGGACAGAGTTCACAGACCGCACCTTGGCACGTTGTCCTCACTGCAGGAAAGTGTAAGTGATTAGGGATTGAGCTGGTCATTGATGTATGGAGTAAAAACTCTATGGCTGTAGAAAGCATCCATTTCTATTTGCCTCCCCACAGGTCATCTATTGGGCGCAGATACCCACGTAAGAGATGTATCTGCTGCTTCTTGCTTGGCTTGCTTTTGGCAGTCACTGCCACTGGCCTTGCTGTGAGTACCCTTGCCCCAGTCTCTTTCATTCTGCAGCCTCATCTCCATAGGCTAAGATTTGGGAAATTGCTACCCTTAAAAAAAGTGGAAGAAACTTGGGGGAGTAGTTTGTTTTAAGATATGGATGAGCTAAAGTGTAAGGTGGCTGATCAAACAGACTTTATTACTACTAAGAGTGCAAAATAGCCATCCTTTGTCTGTAGGATGAGGATAGAACAGTGAAGTGCTTAATTTAAGAGTTGCTATTTGCAAACCTGGCTCAGTTGTCAGATATAAAGAAAAACTGAGATACAGTGTGGGATGGGATGAGTGTGTTACTGCCTAAGGGAAGGGAGCTGAACAGCTCTGCCTTTAAGAAGGTCCCTGAGGGTGGCTACATGTGGATAAGGAACAAGGACTGAAGCATGAGTTATTACTGTTCTTAGGACTAATAGGAGGTAGTGGAGACCAACATTAACCCCATCTTTCTTTTCTTCTCCCTCCTTACCTTCATCAGTTTGGCACATGGAAGCATGCACGGCGATATGGAGGCATCTATGCAGCCTGGGCATTTGTCATCCTGTTGGCTGTGCTGTGTTTGGGCCGGGCCCTTTATTGGGCCTGTATGAAGGTCAGCCACCCTGTCCAGAACTTCTCCTGAGCCTGATGACCCACAGACTGTGCCTGGCCCCTCCCTGGTGGGGACAGTGACACTACGAAGGGAGCTGGGGTAGTTAAAGGCTCCCGGGGCTTCTATAAGGAAGCCAAGCAGCTGCCTTCCTTTTCCCTGGGGAGAGGTAGGAAGGAACCAGGCCCTCACTTAGGTTTGGAGGGGCAGATAAGAGCACTGCTGACCATCTGCTTTCCTCCAAGGGTTGCTGTGTCTAGGGTGAAGTAGGCAAAACGTTGCCCTTAAAACTGGGTCCTAAAGACGGTTCCAGCCTTGTCCTTCCTGTGTGCTCCCTGAGAGCCATTCCTGTCCCTTACACATTCCAGGGCAGGGTGGGGGTGGGTAGCCCTGGGGGTTCCCCTCCCTCTTGTGCACCATTAGGACTTTGCTGCTGCTATTGCACTTCACCAGAGGTTGGCTCTGGCCTCAGTACCCTCAGTCTCCTCTCCCCACATTGTTTCCTGTGGGGGTGGGGTCAGCCGCTGCTCTGTACAGAACCACAGGAACTGATGTGTATATAACTATTTAATGTGGGATATGTTCCCCTATTCCTATATTTCCCTTAATTCCTCCTTCCAACCTTTTTTACCCACCCCTCCCCCCACCAGTTGCAGTATTTAACTGGGCTGGGTAGAGTTGCTCAGTCTTTGGGGGAGGTTAGGGACTTATCCTGTGCTTGTAAATAAATAAGGTGATGACTCTACCCTTTTTCAGTTGTTAACTTGTATGCACGAAAATATGAGGAAGGGAATATGTAGCCCCACGAAGGGGTAAGACACAAAGACAGCAAGGCTGAAACTATGGCTCTTTATTTTCGTGTGGATAATTCAAACAAACTCATTAGTAGTCTTTGTTCAATTTTTCTTAAAAAAGAAAAAACCCTCAAATAAAAACTCTTGGGCTTAAAAGAACTCTAAGTCTGTCACAGGAGCCTGGTTGGAGGATTCTTATTTTTATAGATGAGAAATACAATGCAGATTTCTCCGAAGAGTGTTTAAAGAAGGAATGGTAGTTGAGAGGGCTTATTTCCCAGGCTCAAAGTGATTTAGGGGTGGTGTCACAGTGCTAGGTATAGGGTGATAGGACAGTGATCACTGCCGAGGGCCTTGGAACGGATCTTGCTATCACACAATGCAGGTAACAGAGAGTGGGACAACAAAAAGTAATCAAGGCGCCAACCAACATTCTTGGATCGAGCATTCATCATGTAAGTCCAAAAGGTGTAGGCATAGGGTGTGTTGGGGTAGAGGTGCCTAAAGCTGTCAGCCAGTGGCACAGCCTGCAGTAATTCCCCAAAGCCTTGGCGCTCTTGTGGCGTGAAGCCAGCATTCTTTTTGTTTCCCTTGGGGTTGCGAAGGTCAATTTCTTCATGTGCCACATTGAGGTCTCCACACAGCACAAGGGGCTTTCGGGAAGCCAAGCCCTTCAGGAACTTGCGAAAGGCTTCATCCCAGCGCTGCCGGTACTCCAGTCGTACCAGACCCCGGCCTGCATTAGGTACATACGTTGTTACCAGCACAAACGAGTCAAATTCAGCCACAATCACCCGGCCTTCCTGATCATGCTCCTCCTCGCCTACAGAAATGAAACAGAATTAGCATAAAAAACTGTAAGAAAAGGGAAAGCAATCAAGAGGTGGGGCAGAGATGGAGAATTAGCAATTGGTCTTGAAGAGTTCAGGCATTAAGCATCAATAGGGTCTCACCTATGCCATAAGAAACTTTGAGTGGGCAATGGCGGGAAAGTAGGCCCACGCCACTGTATCCTTCCTTGTCCGAAGGAGCGGACCAGTATTGATGAGAGAGTCCAGGCAGCTCTTGAAGTTCAGCTGGTAGTTTGTTCTCTGAACATTTGGTCTCTTGAAGGCACAGTATATCTGGGGCTTCTTCCTTTACCCACTACAAGTGAAAAGAAAGGTGATAAATGTATTATCAATTCAGCAGAACATTTATTGAATATATGCTAAGTCATAAATATGCACAGGTTAAACAGTCAAGCAGTTCGAGGTTAAACAATATTTAAACAATTCAAAGCTAGATAAATGAAAACAGAGGTAAGAAAGTCTTACGTGCTATACTATGTGTTTTTTCTATAGGCAAGCTAAGATTTTTAAGCTATAGTTAATGAAATGGAGGACGTGCTGAAGATAAAATGGAGGAAATATAGTAAAGAGGTTTTTGCAACATTCTGGGAAGAGGAGAGAACATTAAAAAAGAAAATGGCAATGGAAGTGAAGGAACAGACACTTAGGAAATACAACTGGCAAGACTGGGGAAGCCCCACAGAAAACTGCAGGCAGGAGAAAAAACAGCCTGAAGGCTATACGGAGAAAAGGGGTGACTAAACCCTAAGATCATTCAATACTAAAGAATGTCTCTTCCCCTCAAATACCACTCACATCTAATCCTTTCTTCTTAATCCAGGCTCGAAGCCCATCCACGTTCCAAGAGCAGATCTTGAGTGTGGCAGGTTTGCCACTGGGTGAGGTTTTCTGATCGGGGGGGTCCTCATACAGGGCTGGGCCCTCTCCTGCTGCCTCCTTGTCATTTTTCTTTGCGGCCGTCTTACTCTTCTTGGGCTCTGGCTCTATAAAATGAGTAATATATACTGACAAAAAGTGGGTGGTTTCCAACCGCGATCCGGCGTTAACCATGGACCCAACGAAAGCCTGCGGTTACTGCGTCTTCACAAACCCCTGCAAAAATGAGTCGGCCCGCACTTACCGTTCATCAAGGGAATTACAAACACCCCCGCCGTAGCTTCTAGGAAGAGGGGCTCATTTTATTCTCTTACCTGTCTTGAGCTCATCCCCGTCTTCTGCCACCGCTCCCTTTTTCCCACGCTTCGGCATTCCCGTAACGAACGCTCTTCGGCACCTGTACCGCGTCGCCCACCAAAGCAGTATTTTTACCGCGTTGCCTACAGACGCAAAGAAATCATGAAACCAGCTAAGCCTGGGGAGAAGACTCCGCTCAAGAGCGTCCCCGCACCAGGTCCCGCCTTTCAAACCATGTTATCTCTAAATCCTTTCCCCGCCTCCGTGCATCATAGGCCCTTCAGCCCCTCACCCACGTAACTAGATCATTTCATAGTGCCTTGTACCCTACTCGCGAGATCTGCCCTCCAGCCAATTGAGGATCTTAATTAAGGGTCCTGACTCAAGCTTGCCCTTCAGACTGCCAGCGAAGCCCCTCTTATGAGCAAAAGAGCAACCCCGTATCTGCACCGGTCCGATGGCAGCCTAGCTCCTCCTAACCCGAGCACAAAGAAGGATGCACGCTGAGCCCCCACGTGGGTAGCGGACCTGGTCACGTGATCAGAGGCACGCGTCACATGGCCGAAGAACGCGCGTGATTGGTCTGTCTGACACCACGTGATGAAGTCGCTTGGCCTTGCCTCCCTCATCTAATTCTCTAGGAGACCTAGGGCCCCAACCCTCCTTCGGGCTGTTTATCGTTGTGCCCGACGCACGGCACATTGTTTGACTCTGACTTAAGAGTCTAACGCTGTGCAAGAGGGAAAAAAAAAGTGGAGAAGGTTGGGCTGGACCACGGGAAAGAGATAGGAAAACGGATAGGATTGTAAAGCACAGAGTCTGCTCGGCGTCCCTGGCAGTTAGGAAGACAGGTTCTGGAGGGGCCTTGGCGGGTCTCCGCTCGCGGGAGTTCTGCGCTGTCTTTCCCACTGTTATCTGCAGGCTAGCCAGCTTCCTCTGCGCTCCGGAGAGCTGCGGCCCAGCGCAGACTAGTGAGGACCTCCACAGCTCCTGACGTTGCTAGGAGTCCTGTCGGCGTTTTCTCCCAGGCTCCGCCATGCCGGCGGTGCTGGGTTTTGAAGGCAGCGCCAATAAGATTGGCGTGGGTGTGGTGCGGGATGGCAAGGTGCTGGCGAACCCGCGGCGGACTTATGTCACGCCTCCGGGCACAGGTGGGTGAGTAGGGGAGTTAAGAGTTTTCCGCGCACTTCCCCGCAGAAAATCAGCCTTCCATCTTCCTAAATACTAGTGAGGTGCAGCTTTTGATCTGAGTCTTATTGAAATTATGTGATATTATTAACGTCACAAGGCTGATGACTGGAAGAGTTACAAGTACTTGGACGTGGATCTGATGAGTTCGTTTACCATTTATTGAGCTCGTTTTATGTGCTAAGCATTCAGAAATAGATGTTATGATACTGCTGTGGAGTCAGACATATAAATAGATGTTTATACTACAGCATGATAAACAGTGTAATAGAGATGGACTCGAAATATTCCGTTTAAAAAACGCTTAGCAGGAGTATATATTCCAGTTGCCCTGAATATACACTCCTTTTTTAAAACAATTTATTTTTTGACATATTCTAGGATGAGTAGAGAGATGAGAGTGAAAAGACTCCCAGCTTACATGTCAGAGAACTGGCTGGCTATGCTGTATTCACATTAAATATTTATGTTTTGGACATTTGGTCTTTATTTTTTATTTTAATTTGTTTTTGAGACAGTCTTGCTCTGTTGCCCAGGCTGGAATGCAATGGCACGATTTCGGCTTACTGCAATCTCTGCCTTCCAGGTTCAAGAGATTCTTCTACCCCAGCCTCCCGAGTAGCTAGGACTACAGACAGGTGTGTGCTACCACACCCAGCTAATGTTTGTATTTTTAGTAGAGGCGGGGCTTCACCATGTTGGCCAAGCTGGTCTCCAACTCCTGACCTCAGATGATCCGCCCACCCCAGCCTCCCAAAGTGTGAAAATTACAGGCATGAGCCACCGCCCCGGCCTAGTCTTTGTTTTTAAAATGGGAATAATACCTGTATCATTAGGTCTTGAAGATTAGATGAAAGTACCAAACACGTCTGGGTGTGGTGGCTCACGCCTGTAATCCCAGCACTTTGGGAGGCCGAGGCGGGGTGGATCACCTGAGGTCGGAGTTCAAGAACAGCCTGACCAATATGGAGAAACCCTGTCTCCACTAAAAAATACAAAAAATTAACCGGGCGTGGTGCCGCATGCCTGTTAACCCAGCTACTCGGGAGGCTGAGGTTGTGGTGAGCTGAGATCATGCCATTGCACTCCAGCCTGGGCAACAAGAGTGAAACTCCGTCTCAAAAAAATAAAAAAGAAAAAAAAAGTACAAAACACATTACAACTTTTAATTGATACTTTTAATAAGCCATTGTATCTTGCCTACTCTCCCCTCAAACACTTGCATACATAGGAGAGGGGCAACTGATTTGCATGTATCTGAAAAGCCTCCCTGAACAGGTGATGTGACAGATTACTCATTAGAAATAGGTATGTATGTTTAGCATTCACTCCTCTAGGCACTTGGGCACTGGAAATACAAAGATAAACAAAATACTCACTGCTTTGAGATACTCATGATTAAGCTGAGCAAACCACAGAAAATTATAATGCTGTAATTGTTAAATAAATGACATCATCATGCACAGAGTTCTGTAGGGTCACAGAGAAAGAAGGTCACCAGGCCGGGTGCGATGGATCAGGCCTGTAATCCCAGCACGTTGGGAGTCCAGGGCAGATGGATCACGAGGTCAGGAGTTTGAGACCAGCCTGGCCAATATGGTGAAACCCCGTCTCTACTAAAAATACAAAAATTAGCTGGGTGTGGTGGCGTCGCCTATAGTCCCAGCTGTTTGGGAGGCTAAGGCAGAAGAATTGCTTGAACTCAGGAGGCAGAGGCTGTAGTAAGCCGAGATCGTGCCACTGCAGTCCAGCCTGGGCATCAGAACAAGACTCCGTCTCAAAAGAAAAAAAAAAAGGCCGGGCGCGGTGGCTCACACTTGTAATCCCAGCACTTTGGGAGGCCGAGGCGGGTGGATCATGAGGTCAGGAGATCAAGACCACAATGAAACCCCGTCTCTTCTGAAAGTACAAAAAATTAGCTGGGTGCAGTGGTGGGCACCTGTAGTCCCAGCTACTTGGGAGGCTGAGGCAGGAGAATGGCATGAACCCGGGAGGTGGAGCTTGCAGTGAGCCGAGATCGCACCAGGCCACTCTAGCCTGGGTGACAGAGCTAGACTCCGTCTCAAAAAAAAAAAAAAAAAAAAGATCACCAAAGGGTATGGGTAGATACCACTTGCATTGAGGCATGAAGGCTGAGTAGGGTAAGAGGAAGAGAATTTCTGAAAGTTGAACAGCCTATATAGAAGCTGAAAAGAGTGTATCCGAAAATGTGGAAGATAGGATGCTTGGGGAAAGTGAAAGGACTCTTACTACATCACTAAAACTCCTGTTGCTTTCTTTAACTTCCTACCTACCTTTGCTACCAAAAATCCCTGTGATCTCTGACCTGTGTTCATTTTCTAGGATTCCTTCCAGGTGATACAGCCAGGCATCACCGAGCTGTTATCCTAGACCTGCTGCAGGAGGCACTAACAGAGTCTGGATTAACCTCCCAGGATATCGATTGCATTGCATACACCAAGGGTATGGCTGGGAGAGTGGTCAACGATGGAGGAATATACCTGCAACCTGGCTAGGTCAAAAGAGCCAACACCTTACCTCTGCCACCACCACTACCCCTATCCCACCTCACATCCCTTACTTCCCCCACCTATTTTTTTTCCAATCTCTAGCATTGTAACTTCCATTTCTATCTCCCTAGGCCCTGGCATGGGTGCCCCACTGGTTTCTGTGGCTGTTGTGGCCCGTACTGTGGCCCAACTGTGGAATAAGCCATTGGTGGGTGTGAACCACTGTATAGGCCACATTGAGATGGGTCGCCTCATCACTGGAGCCACCAGCCCAACCGTGTTGTATGTCAGTGGAGGAAATACGCAGGTATTTAGAGTGCTCTACCCATTCCATCTCAATTTCTGAGGCACTGAACCAATATCTTCTTTGTTCTATCTGAGTCATGGGAATGTCAGGAACAAAGCTGAACTCATCTGAACCTAAAATACTGTAGACCAGAAAACTCCCAACCGAGTTTGTAACATTGCAAATTTTGGCAGCATGTTCAGAACATTAGATGACTTATCATTATCAGACTTTATATCTGATCATAAAGATTAGGAATTTCTACTTCAGGAAAGGAATGAATGGTAAGGATTGAAGCCTTCAAAATAATGAATATCTGAAAGATCTTGCATTATTTTGAAGCTTATTTTTTCTGTAAATCTTAGCAACTGAAACTAACGGTTACTGTGCATGGCAACTCACACCTGTAATTCCAGCACTTTGGGAGGTCAAGGTGGGTGGATCATCTGAGGTCAGGAGTTTGAGACCAGCCTGGCCAACATGGCAAAACCCCATTTCTACTAGAAATAACAAAAATTAATTTGGCGTGGTAGCAGGTGCCTGTAATCCCAGCAAGTTGGGAGGCTGGGCAGGAGAATTACTTGAACCAGGAAGTGGAGGTTGCGGTGAGCCGAGATCACACCATTGCACTCTAGCCTGGGCAACGAGAGCAAAACTCTGTCTCAAAAAAAAAAAAAAAAAATAAGGAACTAAGGGACGCTACCTGATTTATTATTTTAGGGCAACTACATGTTTTGTTTTTGTATTACTGGGGATGATTATATAGACTTTGTTGTTCTAAAAGTTTAGAAATATAAGTAACTATAAAAATACTTTATAAATTATAGAAGGTATTTTATTTTATCTTATTTATTTATTTGCAACGGAGTTTCGCTCTTGTTGTACAGGTTGGAGTGCAATGGTGCGACCTTGGCTCACTGCAACCTCTGCCTCACAGGTTCAAACTATTCTGCCTCAGCCTCCCGAGTAGCTGGGATTACAGGCACCTGCCACCACACGTGACTGATTTTTTGTGTTTTTAGTAGAAACGGGGTTTCGCCCTGTTGGTCAGGCTGGTTTTGAACTCCTGACCTCAGGTAATCCACCTGCCTCGGCCTCCCTAAATGCTGGGATTACAGGCGTGGGCCACTGTGCCCGGCCAGAAGATATTTTAAATTTATAAGTGAAGCTAAAGTTGTTTGGGATACCTTATATGACCTTTTGAAGGTTGGGATTGGATTCCTTTCCAACCAAACACTTAATTATCATTAGAAATAGTTCAGCATTGTCCCCAGCCCATGAAAGGGTTGTGTCTAGAAGATGAGGCACGTGTTTCCCATGAAAACGATGCGGAAACTTCAGCAGGTAGAGGGCAAGTAGTTGGTTGAGGCCTGAAGGATGACATACAAGGTTAGAGACTTGGGTTGTGGAAAGTATAATGGAGACTATAAGAGGTGATAAAAAGGAGCAACGGCGGCTTTGTCTTCCTCTTTTAATGTTTGCTTAGGTGTAAGAAACAGGGAGGGTAATTAGGTGGAGGGGAGTGGATAGCAGGAGCAGAAAGGCA